TATCACAAATGTGGTCCCCCGAAACACCCCCCCCCCCCCCTTCCTTCCTCTTCTCCATAACATAGATGTTCTTTACCCTCTGAAACCCTCCTGACTTGGGGAATCTTGACCAGTTTTGGCAGACTAATCCCTGACACTTCCACCCCACCCTGCATGCATTCCTATTTGCCTAACACTATGATAGGCAGTCTCATTGACCAATAGGAATGTGCAGGAGGCAGTAAGGGGTATGCAGGCTGTTTGGAGATGCAGAATCCATGCCTGTCACAGCCCAAAATTAGGCTGTGACTGAAGGGTCGCAGTGCTTGTACTTCATACATACCTTTTTTAGGTTTTTATTTCAATGACAAATTTTGTTGGAATTGTTTGTTGGAACAGGGTGAAACAAGTCCGCTTGAGCCCTATCACAGCTTCAACCTGTGGAACTCTCATTCTCAAGCCCAAGTCCTATTATTATAGATTATTGTTTACACTGTACAACATAAAAAATGATAGCGGCAACATAACGACTAAAATCAGCCAGCTCATGTTTATTGGAATTACATGCTCAGTAATCAGGGTGGGTCATTAGGCGCAGGAGTTTGCTTTCCCTGTACATCTAACAAGCATTGTTCATCATTAGCCAGGATGTAAAGGTCATGTGTAATTTTCTCGGTTAATGGCTTATAATTGCACAATGAGTGTGGTCAATAAACTGTTGGGTAAACACATAATTTTGCATTATTTCATACTGGCAGCAACAAATTCTGACAGTGTGCAGGAGACAGAGCTTTCAATAAAGGCAATATTAGAATAGCAGTAGATATAACAATTGTATCTATCTATCATAGTAGTTATGTCAAAAGAAGGAATGTCTCATCAGAAATGTGTAACAAAGTGTCTTTTCCCACATCTATTTAAGACAGTGTATTTACACAGGTTATGGTGAAGGGGGCTAAAGGAATCAAACTCCCTCTAACCAAATCAGAGTGCAGCACATGAATATGTTCCTAAAAGAGGTATTCATGTTTCATTCCATCACATATCCCAGAAATATATGGGATGCATGGATCCATCCTCTGCCCAAAAATAAGGAATATTCCTCTTGTTGTGGATTATGTGATGGGTGAGACACGTGAATACCTTCTGTTTTATGTCTTTACTGTGCTGTGCACCGATTCGGTTGGAGGGCTTGTTATTTCTTTACTCTCTTCTAACCATTATATGAGAAGAGAATAACGAACCATTATGAGGTGTCCATGGGTCCCATGCCTTACTCTATAGAAGTCTTGGTTCCATACACAGTGCTGATCATAATCGAAAAGCCTGAAACAGGGGTATGCAGTTAATAAATTACTACAACATTAGGCTATATTTGCCCTATACACCAGCTGTTCTGGATTTGCTTTTGGTGCTTGAGGCAAAAAGGAATAATTTGTATGGCTCCGGTCACTGTGCAGAAGTGAAGAATAATTGTTTTATTTTTTTGGATACATGATGGAATGAGACATGCGTTACAATATGTTTTTTTTGGGGGGGGGGGCATTAGATTAGCTTTATATCTCAGTAAGGATATTAGTCACACAGGGAGTGCATTGTTTTCAATATTTTGTCCAATTCATAGACTTCCATTGGGAGGAGAAGTAAAGCACAACCCTTCTATAGCGCTTCAAAGCAGGAAGCAGAGCCTGCTTATGTAATGATCTATATGGGTGCTCCCATGTACTTAAAAAAAGCTGCAGGCTGAGCCCCCCTCTGTGCGTGGCTGAGCGGTGGAGGATCGGTACAGATCAGTGATATGTACCAATCCTCTGCAGAGCAAACACTGGAGCGATCAGCTGATCACTCCAGTGTTTGCTATGTGTCTTCAGTTATGAATGAACAGGAAGTGCTTTACATCACTTCCTGTTCATTCATGTGTTTCTGAATGGGTGGTAGCACTCAGTACAGAGGCTTCTCCCCATTCAGAAACTGGTTGATAGAAAATATTTTCTGAATGAATGGGAAGCCTCTGTACTTTCCATTAATTTAGAACAGAGTCTGCAGAAAAAGAGATTGAGGACTCTGTGACCTCAATTTATTTTTCTATATTAAAAGGGAAATTTTAATATATGCTAATATTCTCCCCCCCTCCCCCCAACAGTAAAAAAACAAATGTAATAAAAATAATAAAAAAGAAATAATAAAGAATAAATAAAAAATAAAAAAACATGCTGAAGGCGTGACGCATGACATCACATGACGCCGCGCATGTGCGGCACTGGGTGACATCACATGCCTGTTGGAGGGGGCACTTTTTTTGTTCTTGCCTCGGGCGCAAAAGGAGCTAGCCATGGCGCTGCATAGAAGCAAGGTTTTTTTAAAACGATTGATACGATTTGTTACATCATGCTGATGATGCTCTAATATGTATATCCCAAAACATTTTCAAAAGATTGAACATTCCCTTTAAGCTGATTTCAATCACATTTATATCTGAAAAACCCCCCAAAAGATGATAGCTTCCCTTTTAAATGTGACAATCCCGAGAAATGTTCGATGTCCTGTCAATAATGGAACGTGACCTCCTTCCTCCTACTGAATAACACGATATAGGTTAATTCAATAATAAAAGATTCTGAAGTCTGTCTTACAGCTCACCGTTCTCCAGCCAAAATCCCGCTGGCATAATGAAATTAGGAAGGCAATAACCCGGCGCAGTGTTTTATTTCACAGTAAACCCAGCGTTTTTCACTACGATCTGAAAAACAGCTTAGATCCTTAAATTGAATTTGTATCCATTCCAGAATCACATAAGCAGTAAATTATAAAACGGCTGCACGGTTTTCAATTAAACTGCTAAGACACAAGGAAAAGGATTGAAAAGGAGAGACCGGGAGTGCTGGGTGAGTGAAGCTGGGGGGGGTGACAATTCACTGCATCGCAGCTGTCCTCCCTTGAGCAGTGGGGCCGAGGAACAAGCTGGTGCATTCGACGTGCAGCACAAATAAAAAGAGCAGCGAAAAGTATCAGCGCCGTAACTTTTCATGGCTGTAATAAAAAAATTCTCGCATGCAAGGCAATAAAGAAAATATATGATAAAAGCACTGAAATAGAAATGTAAAAATTAAAGGGACGTTTTTAGCAAAAATAAAAGAACATATTTTTAAGTATAACTGTGGCCAGGCTATGTACATTCAAGTATGAACATGTTCTTTGCAAACTGCAAATGGGCTTTAAAATAAGCCCTCAATGACCTCTGTAGCTGATGGCACTGTTGAGCAATTCATCCTCAAAGTTTACAGCAGTAGCACTGAAGTCATCCAGGTCAGCTCGCTCAAATGCTCAGCTCACCCTGCTCTCTTCTGTAAGGTCTCCTGATCATTATAGATTAAAAGATTAAAAGGCTGCTGAGTCATTGTTTGTGGGGGGGTGGGGGGAGTGGAGGGTGAACTAACCTGGTGGGTCAGTGCTTGGAAGGGGGAAGGGATGGGGGCTGAGCTGCTGGGGCAATGCTGGGAGGGGGGAGCAGGTGAGCTGCTGAGCCAGTGCTGGAAGCTAAGCTGCTACGTCAGTGAGGGCTGGGAAGGGGGACCAGAGAGAGCTGAGCTGCTAAGTCAGTGCTGGGAAGGGGAAGCAGGGAGAGCTGAGCTGCTAATTCAGTGCTGGGAGGGGGGAGCATGGAGAGCTGAGCTGCTAAGTCAGTTCTGGGAAGTAGAAGCAGGGAGAGCTGAGCTGCTAATTCAATGCTGGGAGGGGGGAGCATGGAGAGCTGAGCTGCTAAGTCAGTGCTGGGAAGGGGAAGCAGGGAGAGCTGAGCTGCTAATTCAGTGCTGGGAGGGGGGAGCAGGGAGAGCTAAGCTGCTAAGTCAGTGCTGGGAAGGAGGAGCAAGGAGAGCTGAGTTTCTAAGTTGTGCTGGGAAGGAGGAGCAAGGAGAGCTGAGTTTCTAAGTCAGTGCTGGGAGGGGGGAACAGGGAGAGCTAAGCTGCTAAGTCAGTGCTGGGAAGGAGGAGCAAGGAGAGCTGAGTTTCTAAGTCAGTGCTGGGAAGGAGGAGCAAGGAGAGCTGAGTTTCTAAGTCAGTGCTGGGAGGGGGAGCAGGGAGAGCTAAGCTGCTAAGTCAGTGCTGGGAAGGAGGAGCAGGGAGAGCTGAGTTTCTAAGTCAATATTAGTGGGGGGAGCAGTGGCAAATGAGCTGTTGAGTCACTGCTGGGAAGGGGGGTGATGAGTTGCTAAGTCAATGTTGGGAGGGGGGATAGCTGCCAAGAGAACCACTTGAACAACCTCATTAATGCTGCTGAGACTTTTGAGGATAAATTGTTTCAGAATACCTGCAGCTACAAACATACGTGATGGCTTAAAGCTCATTTACTGCTTGTTAAAATCTCTAAATACTTGAATGTTATAGCCTAGCCACAGAGTTCCTTTAAACACCAAGAAATGCCAAAATGTTTGAATTCTTTAAAACTGTATTTATAAACTAATTAACTAACCTGAAAAGCGGTTCTTGCTTACAGATCAACAGTTTGATATTAAAGCAAAATTTTAGCAAAAACTTTTTTGGGTTTATTTTTGAATAATGTGGAGAAAGGTCAGAACCTCTGCCAGAGTTCTTTTTTGCTTTTTTTTTCCCCTCATTTTACTTATAATTGAGAAAGGTAATGAAGGTAACTCTACACACTAGAATGGGAACTCTAATACAGCCTTACACAAGTTCTAACCTTCTAGTACTGTAGTCAAAAATTGTGGAAAAAAGTTTTGCCTGGTGTTCCAATGGGCAATTTCTTGCTGTTTGCTAAAGGGAAAGTATGGAGTGTATTTTAAGTGAGCACATATTTTAAGATATTATTGTATTGTTTTACATACAGTAAATACAATTTTTGATGTCTTAAGCATTAAAGGAGAACTATGGGGTTAAGGCTTTTCCCCATAGTTCTCCTTAGGGTAACGGGAGGACACAAACTAGCGTCCTCCCGTCACCCTAGGCTCAGTATACCGCGAGCTACAGCTCACGGTATACTGAGACGATGCAGCTGAAGCGGATCCCGACAATTGTGCCGGGATCCGCCCAGCTGCATGGCTGACAGCTGGCTCTGCCTATATAGAGGCAGAGCCAGCTGTACCCGCCCCCTCCCCCGTCCGTTCCGCCAGTCAGCGCTGGTGGAGCGGGGAGGGGGGAATCCAGCCTCTCCCCTGTCACGGCAGAGAGCCGTGACAGGATCGAGAGGTTTGCGAACGCCGGTATGTGTTCACTCACTTCCCGATCTACTGAGCCGACCTGTGACAGTCTCATTGTCACAGGTCGGCTAGAACTATGAGGTGAGTGAAAAGCACTCACCTCATAGTTCTCCTTTAAGCCAAATTCACACTATTGCCTACTGGAAATCCAATTCTGTGGCTATTCATTATGGCTGTTTCCTAAGCAGCGATGATGAACAAAGTATTGTCAACTGTGGTAGCAATTCAGCGCTGACCAATTCTGCATCATGTTTGGGTAAATAGCACCCCTCACGTCAGCCCACAGGCTGTACCACAGTCATAATACTCACATTAGACCTGGTTTAGGCAGAATCCTTTTAACCTTCCAGGATGCTTTAGTGATTGCTGGTTGACACTCGATTTCCAAACTGAATGTTGTTTTGTAATGTTTATCTTCAGACTTTGGAACCAATATTGTATAGGAAAGAGACACACTCTGGACTACAAAGAACTGCTGAGAAACCTGGGGATTAGTACAGAGCAGCAAAGTAAACCAATCCAAGAAAATGTAGCCCAAGGTAAGGAAGCCAGTGATCCTGGATAAGGTACCAGGTCTTTTTTATTGTAAGTAATGAAGTGTAATGTTCTTGACAACCATTTAGGTTTGGAGTTAATTATTTTTTTAATGTGATTGGGTCATTATTGTATGCTTCTGACCTCATATAGAAAACTGTGATGGGCTATTAATATGCCAGTCTCATATCAATATAGGCACATGAATGGGGCACGCAGGTGACACATTTCCGTCACATCATTTCCACTACATAGCTCCTATCAGCAGCTCTGTGCTGCTACAGTGAAACTCGACTGCTTACTACAAATGTGATGTTAATTTCATGGAATCGTTACAATCACACCTATGTCACGTCCTGCCCATTTAGCCAGAGCATTAAGGTGGATACAAAAAACCTATCTCACCATTAGCCTTAACTCAGGAGAGCATTTAAACTGCTGTTTAGCTAACAGGAAGTGGGTAGCAGGAATTTGCCTGAAATGCAGTTGAATCTTAACACTGGTTATATGAAGAACTATTTTTTGTTTGTACAACACACTGTTGAATTTTACCTGTACAATTACAGAACTGTAGAAAGATGGTTATATACACTTTTTAGTTTGAACCTCAAACTCCAGTTCCTGTCTACCTCATCGGGGTCTCTTAATACTCATTTTTTACTCAATCATTTTTGCAATGAGTTTAGCATCATATCTTATGCAGATACATTCTACAATGTTCTTCTGATATGATCTCAATTACAAGAATAATTCAGTTGAATTGTAATGTGTTTGGCCACCTAGCAGAGTTACCCAGAGAGACCAATTAGATTCTGAGAAAAAAATTCTCAGTGCTGACTTGAAAATAAAAGAATTTAGTTGCCTTGTAGGGAAGAAACAAGTCGTGTTTCAGGTGCATTGAATGAAATAAGGCCTAGTGGAAGTCATAGAAGGCCATAGATGAGCAGATATTTGCAGGCAGTAAGATATCTACCCGTTCTATCATGAATAGGATACGTGTGAGAATTGTAGCAGTCTGACGTTGATGCAAGTTAGAAATATAGAACTTCTGAACCTCTGGTCTTGTTTTTTTCCATAGAAGAATAAAAAACTGAGATTCACATGCAGGGAGATTTTGGAAAATGTCCCTGTACATAATAAGAGGCTCCTCAAATCTCATTGTACATAATTCAGGATCGTGGATAAGCCCCAGCAGTCCCAAGCAGTGCTCAAAATACAATATATGTGCAAAATGTTTGTGGACATCCCTCCAAATTACTGGATTCAGGTGTTTCCAGTGAAGGGTACTGTGAATGCAACAGCATACAGAGATATTTAAGACAATTGTATGCTTTCAAACTTGTGGAAACAGTTTGGTTAAAACTTGTTTCTGTTCCAGCCTGACTGTGTCCCTGAGCACAAAGCAAGCCTATAAAGACATGGTTTGATGAGTTTGGTGTGAAGGAACTTGAGTGGCCTGCACAGAGCCCTGACCTCAATCCTACTGAACACATTTGAGATGAATTACAAACCAGATCTTCTAGCCCAACATCAGTACCTGATCTCACAAATGCTTTATTTGATGAATGGACACAGACACACTCCATATCCATAATCTTGTGGAAAACCTTCCCAAAATAGCTAAGTCTTGTTTTTCCACATGTAGGGCGTGCAGCTCCGTGTTAATGGCCATTATTTTGTACTGCAATGTCCAACAAGCTTATATAGGTGTGATGGTCAGGTGTCCACACACTTTTGGCCATATAGTGTACACTAGCTTTCATCAAGTTTATGGCCAACCTTACCCTGAGGAGCCAATCCGTATCAAGAATTGACTAGAATTTGAGGGCAACGCCTGATTTAATCAAAGTGTCATTAAGCACTTTTATGAGCCAAAAGCAAATAACATGGATGGGGAGGTTGTATCAATATCTTCCAACATTTGCAATCTTGTTGCTGACAAATGCAAAACTGGAGCTGTTGCCCCTAGCAACCAGATAGGTCTTTCAAAGGAAACGAGAAATCAGATTGGTACCCAACGGCTTCACTTTGCTCCGATGTCTCTATTTCAGCCCCAGCGTCCTCTTATTCAGCAAATGTTGGAATTTCTGTTTTCTCCAGTTCTCATTTGTGTATTTGTTTTCTGACACTTTCTTGATAGTGATATACTGCTAAGTAAACAACAAAGTCTTCAACCATCAGGAAGAACATTTTCAGAAGATCTTGTAATTAATTCCTGGTGTTTATTAGCGCAGGGAGCAGAATTTCTTGTTGCTCTTTTCCGGTGAATAATGATGCTGTTTAGACACAGCGCGCGCTTTACAGTAAATGAGTGTGAAAAGCTAAAGCTATGAAGCAGAAATCTTAGTACAGACCCACCAGAAACATCTCCCTTATTACAACATCGGTCTACCCAATGTCTATGCAAATACAGACTTTCTGAAAGGTCAAATCCCTCACATGGAAACCTTGCTCCTGGTGTTTGGTAATTCCAGCACAAGGTATTGTGGGATGGGGGGTGTAGGGGGGCAAGCCTGCCCATTTTATATTGGAATTCTGGTTTACTTCATATGGTTAAACAATACAAAAAAACATTAAAGAATACAAAAAGGGCCAAAACTACAGCAATAAAATGCAAAACATTTTTTAGGCAAGTAAAGTTGTTATTAAATATAGGATGAAATACCCATCTAATATTGCCTTTTTGACACTCACTGCCATCCCCTTCCATTAAATATTCTAGAGCTGTAAAAGTCAATCACCAGAGTGAGAGCTAACACAATGATAGTGAGATCTTCTGCCTGTTATAATCTTGGAACAAAGAGATGCCAGCCACTCACAGGCAGGAGAGATATAAAGAGATGAGGTGTGCAGCTAGGATAAAGTATCATTCACTTGCCCTTTAGGTGCATCGGCTTACAGCTATTTAGGAAAATAAACATTTTCAAGCTCAATATTAAACATTCAGGTTTATTTAATGCCAGCCATGCTTACCCAGTACTGGAGGCCAAGGATGCACTTTGTGTAGAATGCAATAAATGTTATTATTAAGCAGGCATGGTTAAAGCTGAAGTTTAAGCAAGCAGCTGACTCCAGATATGAAATACAAACATTGAAACTGTATGGAGTGCCACTTTAACAGGTGTCCATTTAATTTCTTTTTGCAACATTTGGTACATTCAGTGGTTCTACTGCCTGTAGGACATGACTAAGTGAGTGGCTTTCCTCCTATTTTATATGTGTGCTGTGTTTGACAACTTGCTTGTATTTGTGATTGTTAGTTATCTGTTTTTTTAACTGTGAGTAGGTATACCCTTTAAAGGAGAACTATGGGGTTAAGTATTTTCCCCATAGTTCTCCTTAGGGTAACGGGAGGACGCAAACTAGCGTCCTCCCGTCACACTAGGCTCAGTATATCGCGAGCTGTAGCTTGCGGTATACTGAGACGCCGCAGCTGAAGCAGATCCCGACAATTGTGCTGGGATCCGCCCAGCTGCGTGACTGACAGCTGGCTCTGCCTATCTAGAGGCAGAGCCAGCTGTACGCGCCCTCTCCCCCGTCCGTTCCGCCAGTCAGCGCTGGCAGATCGGAGCGGGGAGGGGGGAATCTAGCCCCTACCCTGTCACGGCAGAGAGCCGTGACAGGATCGAGAGGTGAGCGAACGCCGGTATGTGTTCGCTCAACTCCCGATCTACTGAGCCGACCTGTGACAGTCTCATTGTCACAGGTCGGCTAGAACTATGAGGTGAGTGGAAAGCACTCACCTCATAGTTCTCCTTTAAAGCTAAACTCCAGCTAAATTGAAAGTTATCCTTTCAATCAACTGATTCTATTCTAATTCCGTTGTGGATAACACATTTAGTTTTTCATGTGTCTTCTATAAGAATGAAAGGGCCAGTCCACCCAGATAGATTTTGTACAGGGGATTCCACTGTAGTTCCTGGTTCGTTTCCCCCTCACTGAACAGATTCACCTCCTTTTACCCCTCTTTGGGGTTTTCTGTTGCATTTTCCACAAATTATAATAAAATACTAAATGGAATGGGATTGACCCCTTGTAGTGGCCATGGCAAATCTGTCAATTTAAACCACCACTTAGGCTGCTGTCAAAATAACTCATGCTGCTTTTATTAAAATAATGGTGATCCTGGTCCTGCCATGTAGGTCCTTGTTCTGGCACTCCCGAAAAATAAAGTAGCAATGTTCTGTCCTTGTCTCAGAGTTGTGCTTCTGCTTTGTTACTCTGTCACTCTCATAGGCTTCCGATGGATGGTTCATGACATTATGCAGGCATGATCCACTGTTGTCACAATCAATAAACCTCCCTTGAGAAATGGCAAGCAGTCAGTGTTGAAGTACATGAAGACTTTGGCTTCAAAGAGGCTGCAGTAGATCAGCATGAATGAGATGCAAACAAAACAAATAATGAAAACAAGTATTTAATTAAAATAAATGGTAGAATATGATACACAGTGCTTTAGCAAACGAAATGTCATCCAATTAGAGTATGCATATATTTTAAGGTTCCCATTACTGGAGTCTGAGTGAGATCCTTGTTACTATTAGGTGATTTAACTGTTTAGCATTATCCAGGAACTGAAATGTTTTTGGGAAGACTGGCCCTTTAATGTGCCTAAGGTGTGCCTGATGTATCAGCATGCCAGATGTTCGGATAATTTTTCCTGTTTTTCTCTTCATGTGACTTGTGCAAAAGGATTCATGTCCAATGTTGCTAAGAGTTATTTTTCAGATTAAGCATAGATGATCCTTTAATTATGTTTATTTTTAACAGCATTAAACTGGGAGGCCACTGAGATGGTGCGAGAGAAGCAGAAGGAGTGGAGACTGCCTTCCTCACCTAGTACATTTAATGCAGAGGACTTCACCCTAGAAGAACTAGAAACAGCATTTAGGAAAAAGGTAACTAACTATAAGTGCCTGGGAGATTTGGGCTGACATGGAATCTCAATGAGACATTATTAGGCCTAAAGTGGACCTGAACTCAAAATGTTTTGCTATGTTATTGGGAAGATCTAGAAATGGTAATTGTGCCTTAAAAATTAAATTTTGTCTTGAATTCCTCTATAAATATTTTAGCACACTTGTACCTAGACAATCCTGTATTGTAGACTCATAGCTGTATATCTGCAGTGCAAGATTATTTACAGTGCTGCCTCTGACTCCTATAAGGTTATTTACTAAAGGGTGAAGAGTTTGGAGAAGGCAGGAGAAGTGAACAATCTAGGACAACATAGCTGATTTGGAAATATTTTCCAATTCCGCTCACTTATCAGTTCAGCTATGTTGTCCTAGATTGTTCACTTCTCCTGCCTTCTCCAAACTCTTCACCCTTTTGTGAATAACCCTGCTAGTCTGACAAGATTTGGAGTGAAATTTGGTGATGTTACTATTGTGCTATTCAGTGTTTTCCTTGCTGGAGTGAAAGTTCTACCTGACGACCTGCAGTGAATGCATGTCCCTGCTTCTTCTGCATCCATTCTGTGTATCCGTGGTTCCTCTACATCTCCTGTTATTTCTTGAATATTATTCCACCAGTCCTCAGAGTGCAGTTTTGACATGAGGAAGGCAATCCCTGCTTCTCTATCAAGATAGTCATCTTCACACAGTGGCACAATGTGAAACAAGGCAAAGCAATTCAGCAATGAGGACAGACAATACTGGCAGGTCTTCTTATGCCCTCTGCTTGTCTTGTTTGGGCACAGCTTTAACAGTATGGGTCCTCTCTAAACATATACTGTGGACCAGGCAGTTGCTAGGCACCCCTGGGCAATCTAAGGGTAACAATGTATCAGCATAGCATGCTGCAGCAAATGGTGAGTGTGGTCACACTGTGCTGACAGTGGGAAGGCTTTAAGGCGTATAGTTAAATAGAGCCTGAGCATAATTAGCACACATATGCCAAAGCCCTTTTCCCACAAAATAAACTTTATTACTGTGCCACATCTCTTCTATTATGCTTTTTCTGCACCCAGAATATTGGCAGAGGGCTAACATGTTGTCTGAGCCTACCTTAAAGAAGAACTTAAAGTGTTTCTAAACCCTCCAGTTTTTTTCATATATCTAATGCTAGCAAGCAGTAGATATATGCAAAAAGTTTTTTTTTAAACGCTTTAAAATCGGTTTAAACTTACCTGTGTCTTCGCCGAGCACTCCCGTCCGAATATCCGAAAATGCTCGGGCGGCCGCAAAGCATCTTGGGGCGGGCGCATGCGCAGTTCGGATTTTTGGCCGGGAGACGAGAGACACAAGGTAAGTCTATGGACGCGTGCACCCGCATGCAGAGACCGTGGGACAGGAAGTGGATCAAAGACCCGCAGCAGCGCTGGAGAGAAGGCTGAAAAGGACAGGAAAGAAGAGGAAGATTGGATTAAGAGACATCATTTAAGGTAAGTGCTTTAATTAAAAATGGGGGGTAGGAAAAAAGTTTTCTGCCTTTAATGTCACTTTAATTGAAATAGTCAGAGACTATTTAGCAATCAGCAACTGTTGAGACTAGGGATGCACCGATACCGACACAAGCATCAGTATCGGCGTCGATACCGAGTATTTGCACGAGTACTCGTACTCGTGCAAATACTCCAAAACATAAAACGAGTACCTGTGCCGCGTCCGCCATCTTCAGGGACCCGGATCCGCCGCACACAGGACCTCCATCGCGTCTTCAATGAAGCAAGATGGCCGCGACCTCCTCTGTCATCTGCTTCATTCTGATCTCTTCTCCCGCTGATTGGCCGATTGGATGATTGACAGGCCTCCTCACCAGTCAGGAGTGACTGGTGAGGAAGCCTGTCATCATCCAATCGGCCAATCAGCGGGAGAAGAGGTCAGAATGGAGCAGGTGACTAGGCTTTATTTCCCTCTAAAACTGAGCAGCCTTGTCCTCCCGTGAACTTATCAATATTCTCGAGTGTAAACACACAGCGGATAATTAAGCCACATTCAGCAATGACAGACTTCATTCATACGCGACTTACTGCGCATATTACAAAGTGATAAAATACATCCAGCAATTATCACTGCATTGTTTTAGGGACAGGACCATCTCACAGCCTCCTTTCATCCTTCTGATGTGAAAGATGGTTAAAGCTTTAGAAAACGGAGACAAAGGTTGAATCATCTCTCGCATGGAAGACAGAAAACATTGTGAGTCACTGACAGATTGAAAAACAATATGGTTTATCTCAGGAAGAACAATAACCATTTTCCTTGTTGCTATGGTGCTAGTCAATTGTATACAATACCACTATGGAAATAAGAAGGAAGTTAACATGCTTGTGGCCAATATAAAAAAAAAAAGTATATTTTTATTGCCTTGGTTGTATTTCTTGAATAGAAAGAAAATATAAGAAAAGATTGTGTCTGCAATTAAATGGAAGTTCATTTCCAATCCAGAACCATCTGTCGTTGCTTAAGTAAACAGCCAGCAATGAAAACATAGCTGGTTACGCGTGGCTGTAAGGCAAGTTCTACAGCGACAATCAGGCCAGATGCCTCTAAAGACGCGTTCATTTTTCTTTTGTGTCATTTTGCTCCAGGATTGAATTTATCAATGGCCAATCTCTGAAAAATTATCTAAGTCTGCCTACAGACAGGCAGATGGCTTGCCTAGTTCTGTGCATGTCCTTGGATCCACTGGGACCAGTTCTTTCCTGTTGGACTGCAGAACACCTTCCTCTGTGTTATGGGGATGAGGAAAGGGGTAGGAGGTCTGTAGCCCTGCAAAAATCAAGCTGATCAATGGAAAAATTAAGAGTTTCTGATTTTGGTAAAATTTTGCAGATGGAGTAATTTCACGATTAATCAGTCTGGCCAAAATGACTCCACCCATCCCTTATAGAAAGAGAAGTTGGCAGAATAGATTTCTACGGCCAGCAGAACAGTTGGCTACTGTGCGTGTTACCACAGTGTATGTTACATAGGTTGCTGCACTACAGTGATTGGTATTGTACACTATTATATATATTAAACTATATGAAACCATGAGAGTCAAACAAAATTCGACACTTCAAAAAAGAAAAACATACAGGTGAGACAATGGGTTAGCATTTAAGAATGCAAACTGAACTATGTTTACAAGACTCAATAGAATATACGAAAGAATGAAAAAAAGGAGGAAGGAATGAAAGAGAAAGCAAAGGAGAGGAAAGGAGAAAGAACTAAAAGGAAAAGAAAGGAGAGGAAAAAAAGGGGGGGGGGGGGGGGAGGAGACACGGAGAAAAAAGGGGCAGAAGCTCACGTACTATGTGCATCAACCCGAAAGGGATTTACATAGGAGTTGATGACATCACACCACACTACACCACACAACAACCAACAGGCCCATATATACACTATGCATTGTGATTGGTACATGGCTGCATCTTCACAATACACGCAAGTTGCAGTGCACCACAACACAGGATAATGTGCTGCCGTGCATTGCTCGGCGCTACCAGAAATGCATGCAGGTACAATTTTTTGGTCCGTTGTCATGTATAAGGCAGCCATTACGTACCTTTTGCAAAAAAATGATGAATGCACCCTTCAAAACATTGCAAGCGCAATCAGTGGACCGGCCAAAGAATCTTCACATCTGACACTTGGGAAAGAGTAGAATGCTTGCATCCCTTGCCACTTGCTATGGTTTAGTCCACTGATCCCAAAATCATTGCTGTATACTGTAGTCTGTAATAATGTAGGGGCTGGCAGACAGAATTAAAGAGAGGACCAGGCATTTGACACACACAGAAGTGTAAAATGTAAAGATTCCTAAGGGGCCGCAGCTTTTTAAAGGAGAACTATTGAGAGAGTAAAATGTACTCTTCCCAATAGTTTGAGCCGGCGTGTGATACTTAGGGTTGCCACCTTTTCTTCAAGTGAAACCCGAACACTCTAGCGCCGCACGCGGCAATTTTTTTTTTTTTAATATAGAGGAGAGGCAGCTAGGGGAGGGAGTAATGAGACCAGCTAGAGAGGACTACAAATCCCAGCAATACATTATACAGCAATACAAAATAATATGAAGCTACATACTCTGTGTTGTTCTGTGTTGACGCACTGATGTCTCCACGTGGCCTGGTGGGTTGTGCGGGCTCTCGTGGTGGGCTAAATGGGCTATGCTGTTTCACCAGGGGTCCACAGGTGGGCAGCACGATGTCAGGGAGCTGGAGGAGGAGAAGGCAATGACAGATGCGTCTGTGGGGGTCCTCGGCAAGCACGATCTTAGGATGATACTGCAGCTGTATCTCTATAGCTCGAGACCTGATCACTCAGTTTCCCATCTTCTCTCTGCAGAGAGAGGTGACTTTCAGTCATCACCCATCGCAAGGATTTCCCCCTCCCCTCTCTGTTCCTCCTGCGCTCATTGGAGGGACAGATAGGGAAGGGGCGGGCACAGCTAGCTCTGGCACTAGAGAGGCAGCTGTCAACTATAGGTTTGGCTAAAATGCCAGGAATGGCCAGCGGGACTGACGGGTATAAACTTGTGTTTAATTTTTAAAGCATCAACACTGTCGCTTTGAGGTGACGTGGGGAGTTGGGGTGATCATTTGGATGTGGTGATGGACCAATTAACGTGTGCCTGGTAGCAGTTGCAATTTTTGTGACTCCCTTTCCTACTCCACTGGTGCAGCCTCAATGCAAATCAAAGGGAGCATTCATCATATAGGCATATAAAATGATATAATGCATTCCCATGCGATTTGCATTCATAGAAGTCCTGGAAGGTGCCATAACTACTGTAATTAACATCATTTGGCAAACAAAATATATGTGTAACTATTGCTTAAAGCTATGTTACATTTAAATGAGTATTACCTGTTTTTAGTAGTTGTATCTCCTCCCCATGTGCGCCTTGTGTGAATTGTGCCTAGCTAGCTCACAAGCGGTGAATAATTAAATTTACAGAGAGATAAATACAAATTGATAAACCGTTTTTTTGGGTTTTTTTTGTAGGTACAAAACAAAATCTCAAAATAGCCCCACCACTTGAAAAGCACTAAAACGCAGCACAGTTTTCTCTCTTTGAAACATGACAAACCTCTCAGCATGTGTTTGGATGTGTGTTACTTGATATGAAATGATTATTTTTTTCCATATATTCCTTTTTGTAGGGAAAAAATAAGAAAACGAGAGACTCAGATGTATTTGGAGCTCAGCAGGTTGCATTAGATGAGAGTAATTCAAAACAAAAATAAAAAATAGTTGTCTCTCTTTATTCAAAGTAGAGTTTCTCAGATGTTTGATTTTGTAAGCCATTTCTTCTCATGCTGTCTTTTATACATTTTTTTAATATATATATTTTTTTGGGGGGGATAAAGTTGGGGACTAACTCATTTCTCACACCTCAAACAATATTTTATTACACATCAACAAGTAAAAAAGTTTCTCTTAACCTGAACCTTAAAGTGGCACTAAACTCAGGAGTGAAATCTTGAAAATGCATTCCAGTTCCTTAACTATTAATAAAAATGTATCTTATTTGTTTATCACTCGGCTGTAGATCCTCAAATCATCTCTGAATTGGTGCTGACACTGTCCTTACTTGTGGAGGTTGGCTACTTTTGTTCCCCATGGTCCCTGTGTGTTTTAAAGTAGTCACTGCTCCAAGCCTGCTCCCATGATGGACTACAATCTCAATACACATTAGTAAACTAAACATGAGTTTGTAGTCCATCACAGGAGTGAGCTTGGAGCGGTGACTACTTTACAACACACACAAGGACCATGGGGAACAAAAGTAGGCACCCTCCAGAAGGAAGGACAGTGTCACCACCAATTCAGTCTCTCCTCCTCTCCGGTACTGAGCATCTGAACTGCGCATGCGCCCGCCCCAAGATCCTTTGCGGCTGCCAGAGACTCTTCAGATGTTCGATATGTTCGCTAGCTAGCAGTAGATATAGTGTCACTTTAACCGTAAGCTGTAACTGCATATAATTTAATTACAATTGCACAATGCAAAAGCAAGCCTGGCTCAAAACATTTTGGATTGAGGGATAGGTATTGGGAGAAGAGCCTGGAGGCAGTTACACTTTAATACCCTTCACACCTTTGCACTGCATAAGGGTGCATTACCGCATTCACATTACATGTGGTATTTTTATATGCTAGCATACGTTATATAACGACAGCATTTTGAACTCCTAGCAATGAACTAAAAACTGAACCCTCAGTTTTTAAAGCAGCAAATTGTGTTACTTGGCAGCACAGCAGGCTTGCAGGCTATTGTAGTTGTAAAATGAGGTGCTATTATTATTATAATTGTTATTATCCTTATACAGGATTTATATAGTACCTTAAGTTATCACAGTGATTTACTACACATAGAGAGACAGTACAATCACAATGCAATACCATACAAAAGGGTAAGAAGGACCCTGCATGTGAGATCTTACAAATGAATGGCACTTTAATACACACCACCAAGTGTATGTAACCACATGATACTGCATAGGTGTGTAGCCAACCTAAACAAAATCTGTACTGAGAGAGAAAGATGCCATTGCGGACTTCTTTCTAACGTGCTGAAGCCATCAAACAACTAGAAAAGGAAGATTGGCACTTCTGCTTGACAAGGACTTTCATTCAAAGCACATTGTTATGCTCCATTTTAAGCTGTGCATCAATAATGCTGTTTTTGTTCTTTGCTCAGACCAGATTATGCTTTTGTAATTGTTTAATGATTTCAGCCTGGAAATATGTTCTGAGCACCTAGGAGTAGAGTGGAGCTGTGAGCTGATGGGTAAGCTGTAAATTTGTGGTGCTACTTCACTGGATTTGAAAATATGTTCGGAGCCACTGCCCCAGCACAAAGATGCAGATCTGAAAGTCAGAACTTCTGATCTCCACACTTGGTTCAGGTCAGTGTCAGTCTTGACCAATGAATCAGCAAGATAACCTGGCAGCTACCGTGTTTCCCCGAAAGTAAGACCTACCCCGAAAATAAGACCTAGCACTATCTTCAGGGATTTCTGTAATATAAGACCTACCCCGAAAATAAGACCTAGTTCGGTGGTAGGTCTTATATTACAGAGATCCGCTAGGTCTTACTTTCGGGGAAGCGGCACATAACTGTGTAAAAACCGGCCGCAGCTCCCGCCCCGCCCACACGCCAGCCTGCCGCAGCTCCAGCCCCGCCCACACGCCAGCCGGCCACAGCTCCTGCCCCGCCCACACGCACGCCCACCGGCCGCAGCTCCCGCACGCACGCAGCTCCTGCCCCGCCCACACGCACAATGGAAGCGACATCCGCCGGGACCAGCAACAGCACGCCGCCTTCCGGGACCTCGTCCACTCCTCCCCCAGCCAGGTAAGACATCACCCGAAAATAAGACCTAGTGTCTTATTTCGTGCAAAAAAAAAAATAAGACACTGTCTTATTTTCGGGGAAACACGGTAGAATTTTCAGAGCAAGAGGTCAGCAGTGACCGTGTCCATGTTCCCTCGGAACAGATTTCCTATAAAGTAGAGCTACAGTCACATAATAAAACTAATCTAAATAAAGTAAATCACGAATGTGATCACGAATATATATTCGATTTTGCTGGAACTACTCTCCCAAACATTTCCTCAGTATCTTACGCAATGGGAAAGGGAATTGCAAGTTACATGGACTGACTTGCAAAAGCAAGGTATATTACGTGCCAACTCCAGTTTATCCATTAGTACCTTGGTAACTGATACAACATTTTGCTTTTTGGCAAGATGGTATTATACACCGGATTGAGTACATGCAATGCATTCCCTAAGCGTAGCTACTTGTTGGAGGGGATGTGCGGCTACTGGCTCCTATTTACATATTTGGTGGTCTTGTCCTCGGCTTAGGCCATTCTGGAAACAGATTGTCCAAGGTGTTGAGAAAATTACTAACATCTCTCTACCCTTGGAACTATCGATATGCCTCCTTCATGCCACTACAAATCCACTGTCTACATATAAAAAGTTGTTGATACCCACTCTCTTGAACGCAGCCCCTACTTTGAAGGAATGGTTTAACAGAGTGAATTATTATAGACGGATGGAAGAATTGACTGCTATTAAATATGATCAATATGAAAGATGTAAAAATAAATGGCAGCCGTGGGTTGAGTTCCAACAAATGAGCCTGTACCTAAACAACGAGGCCCACTCTTGAAAAGCCCTCGGAGATACCACTTATCTTTTTGGGGAGTAGAGGTAATTATCTACTTATGTATTTATTTTCATTGGGATTTAGTTATTCATATTTATATGTTGCAAAATGTATTTATATGATTGTAATTGTTATTTGTTATGAGATAAATAACATTTAAATAAAACATAAATAAATAAATAGAGTAAATGGTCCTAATGGTGATGATCAGATTTTTTTTTTAAACATCCTTCAAAATAACTACTGTATTAGTAATAATGCAGCAATGGAGGAATGTATGGACTACAATGTTGCCACCTACAAGTCACTCAGAATTAGACAGCTGAGAGTGTTTTATTGTCTGGGACTAGATTTGCAATGAGCAGAAGAAATGGACAGGAAAAGTGATCACTGAATAAAGTCTCTAGAGAGAAAGCACCATTAGTCCACACGTCCTTAACCTAAACCCAATAAAAGCTGACAAAACAACATTAGCATTAATCGAATTAAAACGGGTTGCTTGAAAATAAATTATATGGCCAAAATTATGTGTATACCCCTCCAAATTATTAGTTTAGGTGCACAAAGCCAGGCTAAGTTTGGTGTGGAGGAACCCAAGTGGCTACAGAGGCCTGACCTCAACCCTTTTGAACTCCTGCAGAAGGAACTGGAATGCCAACTGTGAGGTCTTTTCAGCTAACATCAGTTCCGGACCTTGCAAATGCTCTTTTGACTGAATGGGCACAAATTCTCACAGACACACTCCAATGTTATGTGAAAGAGGCAGGGCCAACTTCATATATATGGCCATGGTTTTAGAGAAGGATGTCCAACAAGTTCAGGTGTGATGGTCAGAAGACCATAAACTATTAGCCATATAGTGTACATGCAGATGACTAAAATATTTTTGCTGGAAAAATCATTGTCGCTTTAGGCGTTTACTCTTTACGCTTGCTTGAAGACATCTAAGTGGCTGAACTTTTGCTGCACTACTGCTGCTACCGTGTGGAGCACCAAGGCATATTTTGTATATATTTACAGTATATATATATATATGTATATATATATATATATATATATATCTTTTTTTACCCACTTATAAACGCTTACTTGGTGGTAAACTTAATAATTTCTACTCTTTGTTTGTCCACATTTTGATTCCATTGATTTGATGGAGGGCATTTTCAGTAAACGTCTGCTTTTATTATAGTATACCGAGTCTTATTAGAATAGCTGGGGGACTTTTAGGCAACTGAAAAACATATCAATGAAACATCTGAAGATGACTGTACAGTATTAAATACAAATACATTAAGAATTAAAAAAAAGGTTTTTATTCTTTCATGAGGCACACTTTTATGAACAAAGACCGTACAATGTCTTCCATTACAGATCTCCTCCGCACACCCGGATCTTTTGAGGGCTTTCAAATCGTTTGACGTAGATCAGACTGGATGTGTCTCTCTGGATGCCTTAAAGTCAGTCATTAATAACTTCATCTTCCCGCTACCAGACCGAACATTTCACGAGTTAATGAGCAGGTAAGACCCCTGATGTTTCCTCCAGAGTGCAGTACGGTGTCACCAAAGATGGATTAATCCTCTGTGCTGTTTGCAGCAATATATTCCCAGTATACAAAGTTTTCTTTGAATCCAATGCTATTTTTTTTTGCTTACTGTAACACTTTGCCCTGTTGTGAGCTGTATTTATCTTTACAACATTACGTACTGTGCTTAGATACAGATGGGTATAGCAAAGAGTCTAAGGGGCTAATTAATCAAAACTGTTGAAAATTGACTGTTGCTTGTGACTACCAATGAGATTCCAGCCCTCAACTGCTAATATGCACTGGAAGAAAGACAAGTGCATATTAGCACTTATTATTATGTTCTGATTGGCCACTACATTGACAACACTGTGTTGTCTTAATGTTTTGCTTTGTTTTTGTTTTTTTTTCTCTATTGTGGAGCAATAAAGGAATCTATGATAAAAATCTAATAAAACATTATAAAGAATAAAATCTGAATATTTGAGATGAATAAATACATTTTTATGAACCTGTATCCGTGAATACAGCAGCAGATACAGTATATTGGCTACTCTCATGATGCTTTTTGGTGTACTTGTTTTTCTTTTTAATACTTTGATGAAAAAATTAACTAACATTTTAATCCTTAAAGTGTCAGTCCATCCATAAAAGGTATTTTTAGTAAAGGTGGAGCCTTTTGGGCTGCGTCAAACCCTAGTTTCATATATGTCTTGTATACTCCAACCGCGAGGTTCTCCTGCCATAATTCCTGTCTCCGATCTCCCTGGAAGTATAGGGCATTCCCACCCACCTTTGTGTGTTCCAGTTTCTCCTGTTATATTTTTAATAATATGAAATAAATAACAAATCCAACAGGCAGAGCGGGAACCCCTCATAATGGGTATAGCAAGTGTGCAGACCCCCGAACTTAGCAATTGAGATCTCACTAATAGAATCCCTGAAGATTGAAGAAGTGGCCAGGCCGGAGGGTTTTGCATTTTTTGCACATATGTTAAAATGCACATTTTAGGCCCAAATTAGTTAAAACCCAACAAAATTACATTATTTTCTGAAAGCAGAGACCCTGTAGAATAAGAGGGTCAGAGCTGCAGTTTTTTTAAGGCAAACAATGTTGGGGGCACCTGTTTATCAAACCCATATTTTCATTCAATTTAAATTTAGTTCACACTAACAAAATAGAGATACCAGTCATGTCAAGCTTCAGATTTGCGTGTGCCCCTGAAATGCCAAAAAACTACAGTACCCAAAATTGTCCATAGGACATGCTTGAAAAGCCTTTACAGATCATCAATGTAGAGTTAACCGTGAATGATGGCACTAAAATTATTGCTGTCACTCCAGCATGCACAGCAATATACTGTATAACATCTGTGGCACAATCGCAGTTTAATACACAATGATGCATCTTTGCGTTGGTATGTGTGTGTACATGGGGGCAGGGAGCTTTTCCGTTTTTCTGTGTTTTTTATTTTACAACTTTCTTTTCACTTTAATTTTCCCTCTTCACTTTATTGCGAGGGACAGGTGAGCCTGGGATACATGGCAGGGAGGAGTCGGCTGTGAATGTGTATAGCAGCCAGGTATTGTGTACAAGCCTGCGCTGCTGCCGCCGTATCATTTAACAGATTTGTATTTCCCATCACTTTCTGTCCCGGTAAAAGCGAGGGAAACAGAGTAAAGCCCAACTCTGGGTAAGCTGATCAGTGCTTCTGCATTATACACAAGAATGGTTAGGGCCCATCCACACTCCGGGATTTCAGAGAGTGGAGAAGAGTGTTGTTGCCAGGATTAAGAGGAATATGCTGAGTATTTGTGCTTATTCCTACTCCCCTAGACAATATAAGCATTTACACCTTGCAATATGGGGGTAGTGGGGGGAGAGCATTGGTTAATCTTTAAAACTGGCTGGGGCTCCTATTTAATGAAATTATTTCAGTGAGAACCTCTTTACTATTTCAGCACACTAAGAAGGGTGTACCTTACCTACCTCAAAAAACGAAGTAATATTGAGTGAACTTTGACTTTACCTTTTATATCCAGCCTCATTAGTTAACACAGCTGTGGCCTTGAGAGCTGTTCTGCCCCTCAATCACTACTACTGGAAGGGCCGAAATGTAGTCATTGTATTTTATGTATTTTTACTAAAATATGTGTGAAGTCTGGATATTCAAAAGTAAGGATAATTTCTTAAGGTGTTCCAGATTCACTAACCTACATTCATTTATTTTCAGTAACACAATACTTCCCAAAATAGTATCAGCGTTTCAGAGATGAACAGTACGTTCATAATGAGAATTTTATGCAGAATTACCAGCTATTGCAGAGACTGCTCAAATGTGTTTTTAGGATAATAAAGCATTTACAGCAACTGAACAGGCCCACTTATATTAATGTATGGGAGTCTGCTAAACTTAGCTTCACTGAATAAATGTCTTTGTCCTGGTAGGCCCCTCTGCTGGGTTCAGTCTATAATTATTCAATATGTGGGTGGCTTGTAACCTCTGCTGAGTCCAAACCTGTACAACCAAATGCCTGGATGTCAAGCTGAACTCCTGGTGAAAAAGTAAAGACATTTGATAATATTGAAAACTTTATAGAGAATGAGGGGATGGTTTATTATAATAACCAGATCAAAACCTTACATATAAAACTTCAACAAAAAAACCCACCTTTCATATAGATATGATCCGGTCAATATTTCAATTAGTCTCTTATACCAATATATACTGTACAAAGAAGTCTCAATCTTTATTGACGTAATTAAACCAAAACTACTACTTTTAGTAGTAATAATGTATGGTAGTAGCACTTTTTGGTGTCATATTCAATACATATTTACACTTTTTTTTATATATTAGTATAAGAAAGTAATTTAATTATTGACTGGACCATCTTTATATGGAAGGTGAATGTTTCTTGAAGTGTTATATGACAATATTACTACTTGCTGGCATTCTGAATGGCATGTACGTTATATGGCTGAAAGTTTGTGGTCACCTAACCATCACATCTGCTACAATATGGCCAACAGTATTTTGACACCACTCTAAATTTCTGATTTCCAGTTATGGTAATGTAAGAGTGTATCTAAACCCAAAAGCAAACATTTTATATATTGCAGCTTACCAGTCCTTAGATATGGTGGCTGCAGTAGTTTTCAGTTTTCAGGCATGGAACATTTTAATCAAGTATTGAAAATACTTATCAAAGAAAGAATGTCATCACTCTCCTTAGAAGCTCTCCAGTCCGGGTGCAGTGCAGACTCTTGCCGGAAGCCTGTCCACGCTCCATGCCTTTCCATATTTAATTATAAAAATGCGGCACACTGCTGTACACAGCACAAGTAAAAGCTATAAAATCCAACCAACACACTGCCGTCTCTGTCTATCAGACCGCCCAACTTTGAGGCAGGCAGGATCTCTACAACCAAGTCCATAAGGGTCAAACATGACCATGTGGGCAGTCTACAAGGTGGTTGGAGTTGAATAAAGCTTTTACTGGTTGTGAAAATATCTGTGAATCCTGCCAGGAACCCTTTATTGTGTGAACTGCTAGTTCTATCAATCCCAATGTAATAGACTTGAACATGGCATGATTGAAGTCCAGCCTGTGGAACAACCATGGTTGTCTCCATAAGGTATTCATACATATCCTATCTCCATACAGTAGAGCAAGGGTGGGCAACTCCGACACTCAAGCTGTGCTTTAACTATGAATCCCAACATGCCTCTGGAAGTCATGCCTGTAACTGTCAGTATTACATTGCTCATGGGAGTTGTAGTTCCACAACAGCTGGAGGGCCGGAGTTGCAGCAGAAAGAAATAGAGTAGACAGGAAGTGACATGAAATCAGTTATTCACGGGATTACTAGGTCAAAATAAAGTGAAAAAAGCATGAAAAAAGAAAACAAATGCAGTCACCTAATCTGGAAGGAATGCTAACTTTTTTCGATAAAGATATAGAAGTGTAAAATGTTTTGTGTGCTTATTAACCACAAGAAGATTGTGAGAGAGGAGAGTGATTTGTGAGAGGCATTTTCAGGTACACATGGCTGTGGAATAATTCTCCGCAATAACCACCTATTAAGCCTGGAGCACACAGTCATGATGAAAACACAAGAGGAAATAAATGTAGGCTCAAATTAGTTAATTTACACATTATTAAAAACATAATTAAAATATCTTACTTCCTGCCAGAGTAATACCTGGATTAGGAGATGTGTTTTGCTCCTGTATAAGAATTAATTGAATGATAAATCAGTCTCAGGTTGTTTAATCACCTGCCCTACGGTGAGGGGAAGAAGTTGGGGTATGGAAGGTTAGTATAGGATATAGTGGTCTGCGATATGTCACATATAGAAAGAAATGAACAGCAGATTCGCTGAAGGTTCACCATAAACTTGCACGTTAGTTATTCATTACTTAGGGGTTATTCACTATTGAGCCGAAGGATACAGCCGTAGCTTCGGCTGATCTTTCGGCTCTCTTCGGCCGCTGGAGCCCTTCGGTTCAGTGGAATCGAAGGGCTGCTGTATGGGCTATTCACAATAGCCCGTACAGCAGCCGAAGGCGGCCAAGCGGCTCAGCTGAGCCGAAGGCATATGCTTCGATAAATGAATACATTAATTACAAAATGATGCAATCTCTTGTTCCAAAAAGATTCACCATGTTTGTCAACAACTGGATTTTTCTGTTTTAATTAACTAATTAAATCAAGTTAATTTAATTGAAATTATTAAACTTGCCATATTTACACAGCGGGAAATGGTACAAGATTGACTTTGTAACATTGAGCACTCAATGAAGCCATATATGTTATTTCCCAGCGGAACCCTACCCTACTCTTAGGGCCCGTTCACACCAGACTGTCACAGTACAGCCCCCTCCCATCACACCCACGTTGTGGTGTGAATGGGACACATAGAAAACAATTGAACATGGAACTTGTGGTTTCACAACAGCTGAAGTGTGGAGGTTGCCTACCCCTGTGGTG